GGCATACCCCGTCCGCGTCGGGCATACCCCGTCCGCGTCGGGCATACCCCGTCCGCGTCGGGCATACCCCGTCCGCGTCGGGCATACCCCGTCCGCGTCGGGCATACTCATTGGTATAGGCAAGCATAAAATATCACAGATGGGCACAGGTTTATGTAACGCATCAGCAGCTAGGCAAGGATTCTCAAGGGAATTAGCTTACACCGGATTTTACATTTCCAATGAATCAACTTCAACTTGAGCTGTTGGCGCCCCAGTTGGGACGACCCCCCAACTCGGTCCACTTCTAGTCGCCGGTGCCAGCTGTCTGAATACAATAGATAGAGGATATATTTCACCATCCACCACATTTAGCACAAGTTATCTTGTTGAGCCCACAGACTGAATGAGAGAAATCTAGCCACGTACGGCGAGCTTAACCAAGGAGGCCAACATACAAAAGGCATTTAAAACAAAATGTTAACTAGAAGTCTGTAGGACTCATCTGCATGCTTTATATTCAGGGCTGACATCTGGCCCTCTAATAAACTTTTGTTGTAAGTCCAATAATCCCTAGCCTGACCTCCTGCAAGGAATGGAACCTAGCTTTGCCAAACAGATGCATTTTATAATAGGAATGGAGTATTTACAACCTCCGGCCAGGTTACAGTTACAAATGCATTTGGTTGGAAAGTTTGAGAGCTTCACCCCATGGACAAACTTCACCCAAATGCAGCTACAAACATACAGACTGGGATTTCATCCTTCCTGCCAGAAGAAAGCAGCCTGTGTCTGTATGGGTATAGCTGCACAATAAAGAGGTATGGATGGACAGAAAAGTGTATGTATAGTGTAAACTTTTTTGGTTTTAAATAGGACAGAGACGGGTTATTACTTTTTTTTGCTGTTAGTGCCCGGTTTTAAAAATGTCCCTTCACTTCCTATACCAGAGACGTAACAGGAAGGGAGGTGAATTCCCCTCTCACATAGCTGTCAATGGAGCAGATGTTCCATTGGAAGATTTACTCTTACCTTTTGTTCTGGTGGCAAATTTAGGATTTCCCATCACCTTCTGCCGAGGTGACAATGGTTACAAGGACAAATAGAGAGGGTGACCTACCCAGCCAGGACACATGACATTAAAAACATGAAAGGTGTTCCAATTCTTCCCTATGTTAGCCAATTTAAAAACAAAATTGCATTTCAAACACCCTCACGCCTTACCTCTAGGCAAAATCCTTGTTTTTTTTTTGTTATGAGCCGGAAGAGTAAGACCCTTTTAAATGTTTACATTTTTATTGTTGTCTCTGTCCCCATTGGGGATTTATACTGGTGACTACTCTCCACAGGAAAATGGGAGAAAATCCAACATTTGAAAGTTGCTCCCGTAAGCAGGAAGGGAAAATATGCCAAAGGTGCCAACTTGTTCCGGGATACCCGGAAGGGATATTTCCCCAAAGGCACAGACCATTAAAAAAAACTGGCAGGGGTTTTAACCCTTCTATTCACAACATAACAAAAAGTTTAGGATATAAATACACTTGAATTGCCAAAACACACCGACACAGAATAGATTTCCGTATAGGCTGAGATTTGCAGCTCCAAAACTCCTGGACACTTTCAGGTTTGAATGTCCTATTAAAGGATCACAAATGGATGATTCCGTTTTGGTAGGTGATGGCGATCTCAATTTACTGCACTCCCACTTGGAAGTGTTACTCTCTATCCAGAAGGGAGGGATGACTGCTTTATTCTCCATAACAATACAGTCTAAAAGATGAACTCCAAGCAAAAACCTGAATACTCAAAAGAAATACATATGTTAACTGTTTTACCTGCCAAAGGATTTGTATTTCTGCTGATCCACTTCTGAGATTTACACAGCTCTGCCACACAGCACAGCTCTGCCTGGCAGGGCAGACAACCTGATTTTTCTCAGCTGCAGTTCACTAACACTTACAGATATAGTCCCTTTCCCAGCCTATGACTGGACAGTATATCGAGAAGACGACTGATAAGTTCCCCTACTGAACTCTCCTATCAACATGGTCCTTGTTAGCACATAAGCCCTCTAACACAACTGACAGGCCCCTTGTGCTGCTTCACCCTCTTCCAATCTGAGCCCAGCTGTACATGGACAGCAAGAAGCTGATACCAAGACAAAAGTGCAAAATTACACTTCTAACATTAACTAAATAGATTTTTTTTTTTAATAAAGCCCAACTACAAAAATTACATAAAAACTAGTTGGTAACTGCAAGGGTTAAGTGCTTAAGTCTAGAGGTACAAGAATCAGCTGTAATGCTTCCTTTCTTGCTCTGGCAGGCACCCCCTATATGTGCAACCGATACCCCAAAAAGTTATCTCTAAGATGCTCCGGCCAGCATCCACACGCTGATGTCATCAAGTACCATGCTGGACCAAAGGGATGGCGTGGGACACCCCAGAGCAATGGAGAGAAGAGAATGCCAAACTGGGGAATACAGTAATACCTTATAGCTCAACCCCCCTAGG